CGTTTTCACAATATCAATTTAGGATTTCCGTTAACCTTCATCGAGCTTTAAATATTTGTCACTTCTCCTCTGTTTGCTATATCTCCTTTGTTTCTATTTCTCCCTCTATAACTTGTGGTCTCCATTATAATCGTATGAAGAGGAAATTCAATCGGACATCGCAATTACAAAATAAATCGTAGTTAAGCGAAAACCTGAAGAGGCGAAGAAGGCTAAAAGGTTATCTCTTATATTTATCACAGAAGGTGTAGTGCCAACTTTGTGGGATCAACTTGGTCAGAAAGGAAAGCAGGATAACGTGGTTGAAGGGTATGTTACTGGAGCTTTGAAGAATCTTTGTGGCGTTGATGATGGCTATTGGAAAGAGACACTAGAGGGTAGTGGTGTAGACATAGTTGTGTCCCTTTTGTCATCTGATAATCCTAATTCTCAAGCAAATGCTGCCTCTNTGNTGGCTCGTCTAGTACNGTCCTTTGCTGATAGCATCCAGAAAATATTAAATTCTGGAGTTGTCAAGTCTCTGATTCAGCTTTTGGAACAGAAAAATGGTACAAATGTTCGTGCTAGTGCAGCAGATGCTTTGGAAGCTCTTTCATCAAGATCCGATGAGGCTAAGAAATGTGTTAAAGATGCAGGAGGTGTTAATGCTCTCATTGGNGCCATTGTTGCCCCATCGAAAGAGTGTATGCAGGGAAAACATGGACAGTCTCTACAAGAACATGCAACTGGAGCTTTGGCAANTGTGTTTGGTGGGATGCACCATTTAATTATATATCTTGGAGAAGTATCGCAATCTCCTCGTCTAACGGAACCAATTGGTGATGTACTTGGAGCTCTTGCCTATGCTCTAATGATTTTCAAACAACNNGAGAGTTCTGAGAAGATATNTGATNCAACAGTGATAGAGAGCATTTTGGTNAAGTTACTNAAGCCTCGTGACACAAAGTTAATCCANGAGCGGATCTTGGAGGCTATGGCGAGCTTGTACGGAAACAGTAGTNTATCGTGTTCNCTAGATNATGCAGAAGCTAAGAGNGTCCTTATTGCTCTCATAACTATGGCTTCNACTGATNTACGAGAGCATCTTATAATTTGNTTGTCTCGGTTANGCGATGACNAGGTTGGAATTTGGGAGGCAGTTGGAAAGAGAGAAGGAATCCAACTATTTATATCATTCCTAGGTTTGTCTAGTGAGCAACACCAAGAGTATGCTGTTGAAATGTTGGAAATTTTGACAGCCCAGGTCGATGATAGTAAATGGGCTNTAACCGCAGCCGGGGGGATTCCCCCACTTGTCCAGTTAGTCGAGACTGGATCTCAGAAGGCCAAGGGAGATGCTGCCCTCATCCTCTGGAATTTGAGCTGTCACAGTGAGGAAATCCGCGATTGTGTTGAAATGAGCTGGTGGTATTCCAGCATTCCTGTGGCTACTGAAGACCAGTGGAACCAGTTCTCAGGAAATATTTGCAAAGACACTTGTGAAGCTTATCCGTATAGCCGATCCTGCCACAATTAATCAGTTGTTGGCTTTACTTGTAGGAGATAATCCAGCTTGCAAGGTTCATGTGATAAAAGTATTGGGTCATGTGCTCTCAAAAGCTTCACAAGAGGATCTTATTCATAGAGGATGTGCCGCTAACAAAGGACTGAGGTCCCTTGTCCAGTCCCTTACCTCTTCCAAGGAAGAAACAAAGGAGCATACAGCTTCAGTTTTAGCTGATCTATTCAGCTCAAGACAAGATATCTGCGATCATCTTGCGACTGATGACATTATTAACCCCTGGATCAAGCTCCTCACAAACAACACTCAGAATGTGGCGAAACAGGTGGCTAGGGCTTTGGACGCACTGTCCCGNCCGGTTAAGAAGAATTCTAATAAGAAGAAGTCTTACATTGCAGAAGGAGATATTAAGTCACTCATAAAATTGGCTAAGGACTCTTCAATTGAGTCTGCAGAAATTGCAGTTTCTGCCCTGGCAAATCTTCTGTCTGATCTGGACATCGCTGCAGAAGCACTAGCTGAAGATGTTGTTTCTGCTTTCACAAGAATTTTGGCTGATGGATCTCCAACGGGTAAGAGAAATGCATCACGGGCACTTCATCAGTTACTTAAGAACTTTTCAGTTTTGATGTGCTAAAGGGAAGTGCTCAGTGCCGTTTTGCGATACTTTCACTCATTGATTCTCTAAAATCAATGGATGTGGATAGCACAGATGCTTTCAACGTATTGGAAGTAGTTGCACTCTTGGCAAGGACTAAGAATGGGGTGAATTTCTCTTACCCTCCATGGATTGCCCTTGCCGAAGTGCCATCAAGCCTGGAGACCCTTGTGCAATGCCTTGCTGAAGGCCATACTCTTGTGCAAGATAAGGCAATAGAAATTTTGTCCAGGCTTTACTCTGATCAACAATTTCTACCAGTGAACTTATAATGTCAAGACCAAAGACAATGGGGTTTTTGGCTGATAGAATAGTGAATGCATCCAGCTTAGAAGTGAGAGTTGGGGCGACAGCGCTGCTCTTATGTGCTGCAAAAGAAAAGAAGCAGCTGATCACGGAGGCACTTGACCTGTCTGGTTTTTTAAAACTGTTGTTACATGCCCTAGTAGATATGATAAAGCACAATTCTAAAGGCTTTTCTCTAGAAACTGATGTCCAGATACTGGTGATTTTTATTTTCCGGATCCAGCTAAAATCTTGGGTGGTACAGTCGCATTGTGGCTGCTATGCATTCTCACTTCTGTTGATGCTAAGTCAAAGCTCATTGTCATGGAAGCTGGCGGACTTGAGGTGCTCCATGGGAAGCTTGTTAGGTATACTTCCAGTCCTCATATAAATGTTTCTTTTCGGTCATATAAAAATCATTTTGTTCTTCATGTTTATTGGTCATGGAGATCTATCCTACAGGGTACCTTCGTTGGAAATGAAATAAAATAGCAACTTCTGTGTTGAGTTATACAACTTTGTGGGACGGGATTTTGGCCTTAGGACCTTATGTTAGTTCAGAGGGTCTGTCACAGTCAAATTCCAGGAGTTATCACCACTTTGTCAAGCATAATTGTGCATTTTGGTATTGAATCACACTGCTCTTAGTGTCTTACATTTGACTTGATTCTTATTTTCCTTTTTCTGGCAAAGATGCCTTGTCTGAATTTCCCACTTAAGAGCAATCTTGAGTTTTT